CCTGGAGCAGAAACTCATTCCCACTCATGCATAGTGCCCTTTTCTGGCTGAGAACCATGGTTTCAAACTTGGACATGCTAATTTCTCACCCCAAGGCAGTGTAAGCTGATGATGATCAGATGACCACATGATCTGCAAAATGTAGAGATGGGATCCTGACCCCACCAAACCTAACACTCTCCACCTCTTGGTTGTGCCATGAAATTCTATTACTAAAAATTAACAGAATGCGAGTAAATAACAAAGAAATTGAAAAAAGTCAGCTATTTGATTTTCAGTTGACATGAAATATGTTTTAATATAAAGACATACTGCCCACAAGATGTATATTCACTCTTTTTTACTTTAGTTTAAACAGGATCAGGATGGACTCAGACAAAAAATAAATACCTGTTCAACATATGGACAAAGCATGCTTATGGAACAATGGACCTTTCTTTAGTAGTATACACCTAGCTTACATAGCTGGCAATGCACTGAGCATCTGGCAGCAGGCTACACCACCATACCTTACTGTGTGGCATCACAACCCTTGTCTGACATGGCATTCTCTGATTGCTTGGCTGCCAACGCTCTCCTCCCCCCTCAGTTATGGGCTCTGCCATGCTGCATCCACGACATCACCCACTTTTGTCTCACTGAGATTTAGCTTGGAAGGCAGACAATGCCCATTTCTTGGCACAAAACATTGGAAGGAGCAGCATAGGAGAACCCAGATCAGTCCCCGACACTCATGCCCTGTATTCCGCAAATCATCACGGACCAGCGCCAGTTTGAAATGGGTATTTTTTATGCATTATTATTGTCTAAATACTCAGTTTGCTATCTGAGCATTTGACAACACAGATTTTGTTAAGAAGTCGTAAGATTGCTGCTGTGAAATGAGCTTCTCTGGGCATATATACATACCCGAGGCAAAAGAGAATAACCGTGTCAGTGATATACTGATTGGAATGCTAATTGTTCTGAGTATCAGAGAAAAGTTATGGATGAACAACAGAGCAGCCATTTTCCCTTGATCTGCAGCTTGTGAATATGACTATTTCAAAGCGTCACTTCTGGTTGCAAAAAGCGAAATTCTTCTAAGAAACATATGAGTCTAAACGGTCACATATCATGTTACATTATGCAGGTGGGGTGCAAGTTTATCATGCTGACTGAATGGAAGAAATGGTGCAAGTTATATTATTACTGTAAACAGGTGTTAAACCTAGCTATAAATTATTAGTGAATCGTATAGTGATAGTTGGTCACAACACAAATTTGATTTGTTCTTGCTTTCTCTCCATCCCCTCTGCATTGGCCAGCCAGTTAGAAGAATCTGGTACCATTAAGCATCTGATTAATTCATCATCTCAGTTAATGCCACTCACTCCCTCAAGCCCCAGTGAGCATGCCCTGTCACCACAGCCACACAGACTGCCAAAACATTTCAATCACTGTTGACATTAATTGGGCCAAAGAGGAATTCAGAATGTTAATGAGCAGCCAAGCGGCTTTTCAGTGACCACCGTTCACATGCAAATTTATGCAAAATGTTCCAGCCTTTTCACGGTCTGGTCATCTACCACAACACTGCCTGGGCTGAGCTGTTTCGACCAAAGCATGGTTCTGTCTGGACTTGGACAGCTCCGCCCAGCTTGTGTCCCAGACTCCAGCTGGCACAGTAAACAAACTTCTTTCTCAGTGGTTTTAAATTGGCTGTCACACTGAGCAAAAAGGGCAATTTGAGAAGTCAAACCTTCCGTTTCTCTATTAAAGACCCCCCCACAACAACCACCACCACCAAAAAAAAGCCCAAGAACAACCAATTTACATTGCTCTTTGTACATTCCCCAACATTGTTTGGAGAGGTCTATGTTTTCAAGAATTGCAAGGAGGAGACAGTCGCTCCACAGATGTTGAGGATGGGTGCCAAACAGCTCCCTAAAATGGCTGAGGTACAGCCATTTTTCTTCCTTCGCTATGCATTACTTTCTGGTTGTAGAGATGGAAGGAAGCAGACTATAAAAAAAGACATGATTATAAAGAACGTTGTTTTTCTAGTTGTCTTGAATTATGGACAAATTATTAGAAACTTTTGTCTTGCTTTATGTGCTATTTTTTTTAATTAACTTTAATTTTACAGGGTAATGTGTCTGTCACATTTCAGTCTTTAACACTTGTCAAATATATTTCATATGTCAAGAGCCAGTAGTCAGATACAGGATATCCGTTACACAAACACAGCAGCTCTATAATGAACTTGATTTTAGAGCTTAGGTTACAGTGGAATGTGGAAATGAAGCTAGAAAGTAATTCTTGGTAAATCTGATACCATACTACATCATTCTGTGGTATCAGTGTATTTAATCGATGTGGTCTATAGTGGTCAGTCGAAAAATGAAGAAAAGACACTAAAATATTTCATCAACTGTTTTTCCGAGGTGAATACTGATATCTAAAAACGTGTGTTTTTTCTCTTTGTCTCACAGTTTGACTGACACATTTTCTACTGCTACGTGAAAAACTATCTGTCCTTAAGGTTGAGGTAGTAGATTGAATAGTTGTGGGGTTTACGTCCTCCTTTTGAGATAACTATACAATCTACTGTCTTTCCTAAGGAAACAGGTTAATCTGCGGAGATGCCAAATCCTATATGCACGAGAAGCTCCCTGGATAAAGGAACGCATCACTTATGAAAATACAAATAATCTACCCACACCTGTTTAAAGACAACTGCAGTCCAAAGAAAGACTGTCATTTAATTATGTAATCGAACAGTAGAACCTGTCTACCCTTTCTAATTGGTGTATACTGACCAAAGCCTTGTTATTAAGGCTTTTCATTTGGGTTTGAAGTTGAGCCTAGCAAGGTGAGGTAGTAGGTTGTATAGTTTGTGGGATGGACTCAATCCTATTCAGGTGATAACTATACAGCCTATTACCTTCCTTGAGAGGTACAATAAGTGCTTGGAATGACATTTCCTCACTGAGCTAAGTGATGAAGGAGCCACTCTGATGCCATCTTGTGGCAAAAAGACTATTATAGCTCCACAAATGATCTTAACTTTGGGACCTGTATTGTATTGTAACCTGCATTGTATATATCTGATATAGTAATAACAGATTTACAGAATAAAAAACAGGCATATTTTCACTTGACAAGTTAATTTTAAATGAGCTGCAATATAATTCAATGACAAAACGTATAGCTTAAAGAATGCATTTCAATGAGCAAATGTTAGCCATCTAATTTCCAGTATGACTTCAGATTTGTAAAACAATTTCTTTGACAGAATATGTAAATCCACAAGTATTTAATATCCAGTGTCACATTAGGGAATTTGTATTGCGTTGAAATTAATACTGTCAGAAAGATCACAGTAAAAGTTTTACATGAACAGACTACTAAATGATATATTAGGTTTCAAAATTGTGCATTTTGCAACTTAGTGGCAGAACTATGCAACATTAGGGGCGATCGTGGCTCAAGAGTTGGGAGTTCGCCTTGTAATCGGAAGGTTGCCGGTTCGAGCCCCGGCTCGGACAGTCTCGGTCGTTGTGTCCTTGGGCAAGACACTTCACCTACCGCCTACTGGTGTTGGCCAGAAGG